CATCCAATGGACAGATTTTGCCTCAAGTGGACCGCTCCATCCTCATATGTCCTTCCCATGGATGGATTTGGCTTCCAGTGGACCGGTCCATCTTCATAGGTCCTTCACATGGACGGATTTGGCCTCCAGTGGACCGCTCCATCTTCATGAGTCCCTCAGATGGACGGATTTGACCTCCAGTGGACTGCTCCAACTTCATGGGTCCCTCAAATGGACAGATTTTGCCTCAAGTGGACCGCTCCATCCTCATGGCTCCTTCAGATGGACGGATTTGGCCTCCAGTGGACCGCTCCAACTTCATGGGTCCCTCAAATGGACAGATTTTGCCTCAAGTGGACCGCTCCATCTTCATATGTCCTTCACATGAACAGATTTAGCTTCCTATGGACTGCTCCATCCTCATATGTCCTTCCCATGGACAGATTTGGCCTCCAATGGACCACTCCATCTTCATGGCCCCTTCACATGGACGGATTTGGCTTCTAGTGGACCGCTCCATCTTTATAGGTCCTTCACATGGACAGATTTGGCCTCCAGTGGACCGCTCCATCTTCATAGGTCCTTCACATGGACGGATTTGGCCTCTAGTGGACCGCTCCATTTTCATGAGTCCCTCAGATGGACGGATTTGACCTCCAGTGGACTGCTTCAACTTCATGAGTCCCTCAGATGGATGGATTTGGCCTCCGGTGGATCGCTCCATCCTTCACGGGTCCCTCAATTGGACGGATTAAGCCTCTGGTTGTCCATTCCAAGTTGTATAAGTTGATAAAAGTAATAATGTAAAAGAATAGAAAGTAGAGATCAGTAATTAGATCAAGTTAAGTGATCGGATTGCTGGAGATAGTCATAGACTCCCGTACCGAGGTTGAGGAAAGATAGGATAAGGAAAAGGATTGGGGCTTAAGGATGGGCTGAAGCCCAGCCCATTAAGAACAAGCTACCCAAGAGGAAGGAATCCTATGAAAGAGATTAGAGTAGGCCCTCCCTCAATTAGAGGGACAGGGACGAAGAGAAAGGTGGACGGAGATTGTCTATAATTCAATAAGAGCGGAGCGCCCAACCACCGTCAAATAAATATTAGGTGGGGGTTTAGAGGCTCCCGAAGAATATTGAAAAAAAGAGCCCCGAGCAAAGCCCTCTTCCCAGAGGTAACGAATCCCCGAGAGAACTCCTCTCCCAAGAGGTACCGAGCTCCGAGAAAAGTCCTCTTCCAAAGAGGCACCAAGTCCCAAGAAGGTCCTCTTCTAAAGAGGCACAAAGTCCCAAGAAGGTCCTCTTCTAAAGAGGCACAAGGTCCCGAGAAGGTCCTCTTCAAAAGAGGCACAAAGTCCTGAGAAAGTCCTCTTTTAAAGAGGCACAAAGTCCCAAGAAGGTCCTCTTTTAAAGAGGCACAAAGTCCCAAGAAGGTCCTCTTCTAAAGAGGCACAAAGTCCCGAGAAGGTCCTCTTCTAAAGAGGCACAAAGTCCC